CACTGCATATCGGAGAGAAAACTTTCCGCTCAATTGTTAGTCAGATGATCATACTAAAAAGAAAAAATATGAGAGATAAAGTTATTTCTCTCAATTGTTAGGAATGTTATCTTCTTATTTTCATATACTTAAACACAGTACATATGAGAGAGGAAATTATCTTGTTCAATTGTGAGCCGACTTATCTTATATTGATACTTAAAAGAACTACGTTTGAGAGAAAAAATTATCCCGATCAATTGTTAGTAAACTTATTTCTAATCTTCTAATACTTAAAAACACTACATATGAGAGAGAAATTTCTCAACTCAATTGTTAGCAAGTTTATCTTCTACTCCGTAGTATGATACTTGAAAACACTACATATGAGAGAGAAAATTTTTCCGCTCAATTGTCAGCTGACTTATATTACCTAAAAGCACTATATATGATAAAGAAAATTCTTCCGCTCAATTGTTAGTCCAATTACCTTATCTTATCTTATACTTTAAATAACTACATATGAGAGAAAAAGTTCTCCCGCTCGATTGTTATCAAGCGTATCTTCTACTTCGTAGTAATAATACTTAAAAACACTACATATGAGAGATAAAATTTTCTTGCTCAATTGTTAGATGGCTTAGCTTATATCTAAAACCACTATGTATGAGAGAGAACCATGTCATTTCGTCATTCATTGGTAAATCAACTTTGATTCTGTGTTACCAAAACTATGATACTATGAACATGACTAAAAATGACTTGTAGTCAAGGAATTATATGGTACTCTTTCTATCACTATGTACATTATAGAGATCTTTTCAGGAATAATATTAGTTCCGTGCATAGAGCATGCTCATAAGTTATGTACAGAATTGGAAGTCCGCAATAGTAATCAAATTCAAGTATATTTATAGTTTTGAATCAACATGTTGATTTTTAATGAAATGTGATTTTTTTAAAATTCTCATTTTCACTGATAAAAAGTTCTTTTTCAAAAAGTTTCTTTTTATTAGCCACTGATCTATTGTTACTTCAAGTTCTTATTTTAATACTTAGAGCCAGTTTAATAACACTGAAATTGACTAAATTGTCGGGTCCTTTTGAAATCGATGAAATTCTGATAGAAGTGGCTGAATTGGTTGAAATTGATTCTTTTGATTTATGGACGAATTTAATTTAAATTATATTTCATTAATGAAGTAAATAAAAATTATATGAAAAGCAGTTAAAATGATTCTGTACAGTAACTTTAGTTTAAAACAAACCACAAATGGTAAATCTATATTTTCATATTTGAACTTGATCATTATTATTGATCAAGAAAAGTGTTTTATTATGGAAGAGAGTATAAACTAATAAAAGAAGGAATTAATGTATTAATTACTTATTTCAAAAATAAAATCTGAATAAAAAATTTATGTACAGATATATACTTAGAAAGATGTGGTCTAAATTCATATTTGTTCAAGACTGTACGTCTATACTATACGTATTATTTTTATGATAGGGACTACTCCGTATATTTTAACTTAATACAGTTGTAGTATAATAATTAAATTTAATACGGAGCATGAAGTATTTTCTTAGCATTAGCGACTTAGCGTACGTCTTCATACGGTACGTGCTCAATAAAGAGCACAGTAGCACACGGCATGCTCGGTAAAATTTTTGTTAATCAATTTATGTTGAAATAGAACATAAATTTTACCAAGCATGCCGTGTGCTCTTTATTTAAGCACCATAAGGTACTAATCTGACTGTATTAGCTATTTTTTCATATTAGTTTTTCTTTATTTAATTAATAAAATATATTTTAAATATTTTTTACTATAAATCAACAGAATCAGTCAATCCAAGCACTTCAGTCATAACTTCATAAATTTCAGCAGAGTCAGCCAATACAACCAATTTGGATATTACAAACGGGCTCGAAGTTTGATTCTTTTTTTATTTATATAAAAGTCATATAATAGATTTTGTTTTTTACTCCAGGGGGTCTGAGGGGGCTGGGGGGCCTAGAGCAATCAGGGCTGAAACTCATTCCATGAAGTTTCAAACCCTTATGTGCCTAGCGGGTTTCGAACTTGAGATCTCCCACTAGGCACGGTAACCTCACAACCAGATGGGCTTGAATTTTTGGTTAAGTAATATAATAGATATATATATATAAATTTGATTTGTTTAGATTTAGGATAAAATAAACTAATAATCCTAGAGAATATCATCATTGAGTGTATGAAGCCTTTTTGCAATAATGGAAAGTTCAATGTGGAATTGAAATGACGATGTGTTATTCGGTCCTTTGCCAAATGGGGAGCTACCAAATTGAGTTCTCCATTTACTAATCACATCCCCCAATTTACTAATCACATTCATGAAAACCATAAAATTGTTTTCTTCGACCGATAGCTCAAGTCTTCACGTGTCCAATCGGCCATGGCCTCAATATCGAGTGCAGTTTTGTACACCCTCACTAAGGAGGGTGATGTTCACCCCCTTTGCTCTATGATTGCCATGTGGCATTCCATCCCATTTTTTTCCTTAAAATGTTATAACTTTTTTATTTATAGTCTACTTTTTATATAAAAAAATATCAGATTTTTTAGTTTTTTATGATCTTTCCAATGATATCAATTTTGTATATATAAAAATTTGAAAAAAAACATTTATTTCTAAAATATCTATTTTTAGTTGATTTTTTTTTTATTTTTTTATATGCAATATTAGTATCATATGAAAGATTGTAAAAAAAGAAAAATTTTGATCTTTTTTTAAAAAAATGGATTAAAAAAGAAAAAGATTGTTGGAGGTATTGGTCCTACCAAGGCCTCCCTTCCACTTTATTATTGACTTGCACCCCATGTTTACTCCCACTTTGGCACTTCTCGTTTGAATCTTTCCTAACCAATAATATGGCCATTTTGACTTATGTGGAGTGACCCCTTTGAGCTGTCCTGTGCTGCCCTCCTTGTCTTTGCATCACCTGTGAGTGTCCTTTGTGTCTGCCAGCCTATTATTTATGTAGCTCTTCTTCTTCCTTGAGAGAGCAGCCTGCGTGAATTATAGAGAGAGCAGTGCCCTTCTTCTTCTTCTCCATTTCCTTTGTGTGAGAGTGTGAGAGAGAATACCTTAGTGGTAGAGAAGAAGCTTGGAGTTGTGTTGTGGTCTAGCCTAGGGTGGTGTGTGAGAGTATAGCAAAAGGGTTGGAGACCTGAGCCGGAAAGGAATCGACACCCAACAGTGGTATCAGAGCCGGGCTTGTAGTCGCCGTCGATTTCTCCGGTTTCCGCAGTCTGGAACGTCTCCGCCGCTGTCCTCCGCCGTACTCCGTCGTACTCCGTCGTACGCCGCCGCCTGCCGCCGCCGTACTCCGCCGTCAGCTACCGCCATCGATTGGAGCTCACTGGAGGCCGTCACAGGGAGGTCATCGTTCAGCCGATTGGTTCGTTGCTGAAGGCCCCGCCTGGAAGTCTGCGTACACCGTCGCAGAAGCTTTAGCCCAAAGTCAAATCCGCCGTTTTTTGGGTTGAGGGTGCCATCGCAGAGAGGTCGTTGGTCTACGCTGAGATCGTGTCGTCGATTCGCTGTTCGAAGAGGTCGCGGACCATCGCTGCTGGTCTAGCTCGCCGTCGCAGGGATTTGCTCGCCGGTTGTTGGCCTGTGAGTTTGCTGGGTTGCTGAGCTCCATCGTCGACATTGAAGAGCGTTCGTCGTGGCTGGGATCTGTAGCCTGGATTTTTTAAACGAGGAAGATAGATAGAGCGTGTTGTTGATTTCTCTGACACGAACGCCAGTGTACTTGACGCTGGAGAAGAAACTAGGACACAGGGGCTGGACACGCTTGACATTTGAGCTGCACTTGGGCTGGATTTATCTTGGAGCTGGGCCTTGGGATGCTGGGTTGCTGAAGGAAGGCTGGACCTGGACACATTCTGCCAACTCTAGGCTGAGATTGGGACCTTAGCTGCTGGACTTGGCTTTGTTGGACCTAGGAGGCTGCTCCACTGGAGGCAGTGAACTGGTCAACGCACACAGTGGGCCAGTCAACACCGGATTCCGTCACTCAACCTCAGAAAAACCCCAATTTTTTTTTTAAATTGGGTGGGTAAGGTCGAAACGCCTCTCCTAGGGTTTCGCTCCGGTATATTGACTTTTATCCCTTTTATCGCTTTTGTAGTGATTTTTTTTTTGGCCTTTTATTGTGTAGAAATTTTTTAGGTTTATTATTGTTGTTAAAATTGTTTGAATTGTTGTATTGTGTTGTGCTGAAAATTTATTATTTATTTGTGCTTATACGGAAGAACAAGGGGTTTGAAGTTAAGTTTGGTGCTCATTAATACTCCCCACGTGTTCGTGCTAGTTGCTCCGTATAGTTGTAGCCTTATAAATATTTAAATTGTTTTTCAGCGAAATTTACATTTTCTTTTGTTGCTTATTTTTTCTCTGTGAAAATGTCTGCTTATAATCAGTATGGTATGGCTCCATTCAATGGAAAATCTGATTTTAGCATTTGGAAGCAAAAAATTAAATGTATTTTAATACAACAAAAATGTTTTAAAGCAGTTGGCGAAACCTATTTAATTTCTGACACGGAAGATAAAAGGGCTGAAATGAATGAAAATGCATGTTCTGTGATTTATTTGAACTTATCTGACTCTGTGATTAGCAAAGTTGGAATTTTAGAGAGTGCTAAAATTCTGTGGGATAAATTGAATGAACTGTATACTGAGACCTCTTTGCCTAACCGGATATTTTTACTTGAAAAGTTCTTCAAATTTAGACTAGATATGTCTATAGATATTGAAGAAAATCTAGATGTTTTTACCAAACTTATTTCGGATATTAAGTTGTGTGGTGATAAACATATAGATGATTATTCCCCTATTGCTCTTTTAAATGCTATTCCTGATTCCTTTGGTGATGTGAAATCTGCTATTAAGTATGGTAGAGATAATGTGACTCTTGACATTGTGGTAAATGGTCTTAAGAGTAAGGAATTAGATTTAAAACAGATGGGTGAGGGTAGAAAATCCGAGGAAGTTATGCATGTGAGGGGTAGAGAAAATAATAGTAGACGACATAGATCTAAGTCTAGGTCTAATTCGAGGCGTTGCTATTATTGTCATGAACCTGGTCATTTCATAAAAGACTGTCCTAAATCTAGGAAAAATGAGCATAGTGAGCATGCTAATTTGACTACGTGTGTAGATGATTTAGGTGATGTTTTTATGATGAAAAATCTATGTGATTATGACTATTTGAGTTCTGTGATATCTGATTCTTTGGGTAAATCAGATTGGGTGGTAGATTCTGGTTGTAGTTTTCACATGTCCCCTTTGAAATATGTTTTTTCAAACTATAGAGAGATTGAGCATGGCTTTGTGTCTTTAGCAAATGAGAAGAAATGCAATGTGCTAGGAATAGGAGATGTATGCCTTAGGTTTTCTTCTGGTTATGTGCTTACTTTGAAGAATGTTAGGCATGTTCCTGAGTTGTGTTGTAATTTGCTATCTTGTGCATCTCTTGAAAATGATGGTTTGAAGGGAAAATGGGGAAAGGGAATCATGAAAGTTGTGAAGGGTTGTTTAGTTGTTTTCAAAGCTGAGATGAAAAACAACTTGTATGTTTGTCATGCTGAACCCGTATTTGATTCTGTGAATTGTGTGCAACCCTGTGTGCTAGGAAAACAGTCTAGAGTTGGTTTTCCTGATCTGCCTAAGTGTACTAATGTGCTTGATTGTATTCATGCTGACTTGTGGGGTCCTTATAGTGTTTCCACTCATGGTGGGAAAAATTATTTTCTGACGTTTATTGATGACTTTTCAAAGAAAGTGTGGGTTTTGTTGATTGAAAATAAATCTGAAGTTTTTGATAAGTTTAAAAACTGGAAAACCCTTGTTGAAAAACAAACCGGTAAGAAAATAAATTTTTTAAGGACCACTGTCAGTTTTGATTTCTGTGATGATCAGCTTGGAGATTTATGTGATACTTGGGGTATTTCTATGCATAAATCTGTTCCCTCCACACCCCAATCGGATGGGGTTGCTGAGAGGATGGTTAGAACTTTATTAGAGAGGGTGAGTGCTATGTTAGCTTCATCTGGGCTCTCTAATAAGTTCTGGGGGGAAGCTATTTGTTATGCTGTTGATTTGATTAATCTGTCCCCGTCTGTTCCCTTAGGAGGGAAATGCCCTGAATCTGTGTTCATGGGCAAACCACTTAACTTGCCAAATTTGAGAGTGTTTGGTTGTGCTGCTTATGTGAATCGTGTGAATGATAAATCTGAACCTAGGACTAAGGAATATGTTTTCTTAGGATATCATGATTGCATGAAAGGTTATAGGCTTTGGTGTAGGAGTGAAACTTGCTTCAATGTGTTGATGAGTAGAAATGTCATTTTTGTCGAAAATGAATTTCCTTGCCTGCTTGTTTCTCCTGATGTTGCTCCAAATGAGGTGGAGCATTTGCCTGTTGAAGTTCATTCCGATTTACTTGTTGAAACTAAACCCAAATTTGTGGATGAAAATGTTTTTCATGGTGAAAATAAAGAAAATAATATTTCTATTAAGGTGGAGCATGATATGAATGTTGTGTGCAATATGCTTGAGTTGCGTGATTGCCATGTTATTAGAGATAGAGACATTAGGAAGCATGTGAGAAATAATATGTGCAATGTGTTTGACTATATTTCCTCTGAGTTTGCTTTAAATGTGCTTAATTCTCTTTTAATTAAAATCTTTGTGATATTTGGTATGCTATTTTCTTTGTGTTTTGAAAATGTGATACCATGTGATTATGTGAGCTCCGCCTGTGCCAGTTATAGAAATAATATTGTTTCTTTTATTTTCTTTATACTTGCTTTGTGTGGTTGTTGGATTAGTTGGAATCCCCAACTTCTCCCGGATGCTTGCTTGCGTGGTCTATTAACATGTGTTGTGCTTGTTAATAGTTTTGTGATGGTTTTGGTTCTGAACTCGAGGACCGATTGGTAGAGTTCAGTCCATCGTGAAGTGGGTTTGCATGGTAAGCTTGGTCCGAAAGGGAACTTTGGTTCTCATCTATTACTTGTATGATCGCAATGATGTACTTGTAATAATCCGGCGATGATGAGTCTCCTCACAACTTTGTATTGCTACTCTACACCACCTAGGACCAATAAGGTGGAGAATGTTGGAGGTATTGGTCCTACCAAGGCCTCCCTTCCACTTTATTATTGACTTGCACCCCATGTTTACTCCCACTTTGGCACTTCTCGTTTGAATCTTTCCTAACCAATAATATGGCCATTTTGACTTATGTGGAGTGACCCCTTTGAGCTGTCCTGTGCTGCCCTCCTTGTCTTTGCATCACCTGTGAGTGTCCTTTGTGTCTGCCAGCCTATTATTTATGTAGCTCTTCTTCTTCCTTGAGAGAGCAGCCTGCGTGAATTATAGAGAGAGCAGTGCCCTTCTTCTTCTTCTCCATTTCCTTTGTGTGAGAGTGTGAGAGAGAATACCTTAGTGGTAGAGAAGAAGCTTGGAGTTGTGTTGTGGTCTAGCCTAGGGTGGTGTGTGAGAGTATAGCAAAAGGGTTGGAGACCTGAGCCGGAAAGGAATCGACACCCAACAAAGATAAAACAATTGTCAAATTGTGAAGTATTGCCTTGGCACATGGCAGGCAAATAGGGGTGAGGGTGAACATAACCCTCTCAAATGAGGGTGAACAAAATTGTTCTCCTCAATATCGACTACGAAGGAAGTTGATCTTCAAGCTATGAGAATGAGGGAGAAGGAATTAGTTGTTGTTAAAATAAATGCTGCCCATATCCGTACAATCGCCAATGAACTGAGGTTGACAAGAAGTTTGTTGAACGGATATCAAGGTGATGTTATTGCTGCAATACGGCATTTGCTCGATACATCAGTTTCCTTCTGAATTAATTTTTTCCTTGCTTAGCTTTCTTCTGTAGTGTTGTACTTGTACGTCTTAGTGTGTACAAGCAGTTGATGATTTGTTCTTTTAGGCACTTGTTCAAAAATACTTCCCTTCGAATTGTATCTAATTTTCTAAATTGAGAGTTCATAGTGGTGAAATTGATTTTGTGATTAAGATAATATTGCATCGATGAAAGTTAGTTTTCAAAAAAAAAAAAGCCATTTTCACTCAATTGAGACCGTAGAAAATGGAGAGTGTATTTAATAGCAAAGGGCAGATAGAAATTACGAAAATTATGTGTGAGATGATTAGTAAAAGAGGAGCTATAAATAAAATTTCCCTTAAATTTCCCTTTTCTATCATCCACATTCTGCTGAAACTCCGCGGGGTAAAGGAAGTTGTACAAACAACCGATACAAATGCTATTTTCCTAGCTTTGCAGTCCTAATTGAAGAGAAAATGGAACAACCAGTAGAAGAGGCGAAGAGGAGATGTCGAGCCCTAATAAGCCAGATAAAGAACTCGCCTAAATCCCCGTCATCGTGGAAGACGACCCTTTTGCGACTCGTCAACTCTGAGCTTTCTTTCCTCGACCGCCTGAACCACTCCTCCGTCTCACCTTCCGTGCCTCTCAGCCTCAACATCGGCCACCTTGAAGCGGTCTGTTACATTCTCGGCCTCCCATCTGTCACCTCCATCGCGCGGGTCTGCAAATCCATTCCAACATCTCCTCCGCAGAATCGCAGAACGGGCGATTCTAGAAGATATATAGATATAGTGTGTTGTCACAATGGGAACCCTGTTTGGATCCTCGTCTCAGATCGAAATCCCAAGTACAATGACTTCAATGAATTGCGAGGTCGTGTTGTAGACGTGGTGAAGGCTGCTCGCGATTCGCCTTTAACTGTAAGGCCATCTTCTGTTATCCTTTCGTTTTTGAATGGCCTCCGAGATGGTGTTATTCAGAAGCTCCGAGATGAATTTGAAACCACTGAATTTGCTGGGTTTGGGGACTCCTCATCATTTGAGCATGAGCTCAAGGAGGAGGAAGGTGATTGGGTCAATGTGCTACCTTGCCGTTCTTTTGAAAGGGCCTGCTTTTTGGAGATAAGGATTGAGTCTTTTTACAGTAGTACGGAACTTGTTTATTCCAAGAGGGAAGTAAAAATTGAAAATTCCGTAGAGCATTTGGAAATGGATAAAAATACTGCTTTGAATTTAGGGGAATCGTTTTGTTCTCTTGTGTCAAGAATGAAGAGCTGGTCAGCTGGGGACATTGGAGGGAATGCTGAACTAGTTAACTTTGATACAACTGCTCTAGTTGCTGCCGTGTCAGGGATAAGCAATGGAGCTACCTTTAATGTTCCAGAGAGTGATTTGAGGGCTCGGTTCAAGGGAAATTGTGATTTTGTGATACATCAGGTTGGAATACTAAGAAACCTTTTATATACGGAGTACTTGCCAAAGTTTCTGTATTTGTTGTATGTGAAGATACTCTGCATTCATGGTTCTATTATAATTGGTTGGGTTATGCTATTTGCCTGTCACCCTGTGCCTTTTGTTGCTTCAGTATTTTTAATGGTCCTAAGGTTTTTGTGTTGTTTACCTTCCTTCTCTTCCTCTCAATATGAGCCTTGGCATATGCAGAAAAATTAAGGCTATGCTTGTAGTGTAGAAAATGGTAGGGAGGAGTTGAAAAAAGAACAAAGCTAAGGAAATTAAGCTGCCGAGTTCATGTTGTTTTTTCAATCTTTACACCCAACAGGTGGATACTGAAATGATGAGTCCAATCCATGCAGTCATGTCTGATGCAATATCTGGAAAGAGAGGGATTGTTTGTGAAAGTGTTTTCTCAGAATTTCAGGAGATAGTATCAATGTGCGGTGGGCCAAGAGAAAAGTTAAGAGCTCAGCACCTTCTGGAGAAACTCAAGTGAGTTCCATTTGAGTAGCCTTAGGAGTTGTAATTATGTTTCTCTGATATTCTTCTGTTTAATGGCATAACTTTGTCTTGAAAAGCTATGGAATCTCATTTGTAACTCGAGCATTTGAGGTCACAATGTGTCTTGCTGATGAGTTTAAAAAATGTGATCAGGGTTGTTCCTGACAGCCCGTCGGCACGTGTGATGAGCCTTCCCACGACCAGAAAGTTGGCCTTGAAGAACAAAGTGGCTTTCGGGACAGGCGATCACTGGCATGCTCCAACCATAACTGCAAACATGGCTTTTGTAAGAGCAGTTTCACAAACTGGGATGTCTCTGTTTACCTTAGAGCACAGTCCTCGGGCACTAGTTGGCGACTGACAGGGATGGATTTAGGGGGGGCGCGAGGGGGCGACCGCCCCCCTTGGACTTTCAAAATTTTCTACCGTAATATTTTCATAAAACTTTCATAATTTAATTAGATTCGCCCCCCTTAGCTTTTAATTTTCAAAATTAATATATAGTGTTACATAATGTAATACTTAATTGAAGATTTAAAAGAAGGAACATCTAAAATAATTACATAACTTAGACAAATAAACAATAGAATAACTCGTTGTTTAAGATTTAGATACTTATTACTACCTCCGGTTTTTTTTAATCTTCACAGTTTGACTTCACACAAAATAAGGAAAGAAATTTGACTTTACTGTAGAGTACACTGTTGAGGCACTGTTTGACACTGTTTGGCACTGTAGAGACACTGTTTGGCACTGTTGATACACTGTTTGGCACTGTTTGGCACTGTTTTGATGTAGATTTCTTTGCCAAAAAAGGAAATAAGGAAGTGTGAAGTTTATTTTAGACCGTACCAAAAAGGAAAGTGTGAAGTTTATTAAAAACCGGAGGGAGTATATAAGAATTCCTAGTTTTGTAATGTTTAACTATCTTTATTAGATAACAAGTACTTGATTTTGTAAAATATATATCAAACAATCTTAAATATCAGACACACTAATTACACAGTTTTTAGATCACGTGAAATGAATCCAAAAGATAAATTTTTATTGACATTAAATTACATAATTCATTTACTTCTTGCTTTCTAAAAATAATTTATTGCATAGATAATAAGCCTTAATTTATTATAGCATTAATACAAATATTAAAATATAATATGCACCATATGTGTGTGTATGTGGTGCATATTATTCTAAAAATAATAATATCATACATACTACTATTGTTATATTAAGAAAACTTCTCGTGAGTCATGACTCACGAACACCCTTCTGGTGGCCGGACAAAAATTACAATTCAATAATAACCGATTTATGAGGTTAAACAATGTAGAAGTTATTAAAAATGTATTGGTTGATGTCTTTGTCATATTCTAATTTAAACTTAGAATGTACTACTTAATAGATTTAAATGTCGTTGGGGATGTGTATGTATTAATGTCATTTTTTGAATAAAATTAGCCGCATAGCCCTACAGTAGCGGAAAAAATTTGTCCCGCTACACTAGGGAAAAAAAATTCGCCCCACTACACTAACGAAATTTTTTTCACCCCCTACATTACCGAAAAATTTCGCCCCCCTTGAATAGAAATCCTGGATCCGCCCCTGGCGACTGACTAATTAGGACTGCTGTAGCGCCTAACACATGTATACAAGTGTTGTCTTCCATCCTAAAACAAGGTTTTGGTCATTGTAATTTTGAAAACCAAGGCCTCCTTTAACGTGGTTTTGTTTTCTTCTCTTGCAGTTTTCACTTTTTTTAGCGAACAAACTTAATTCATAGAAATAATAATCAGCAGTACAATAATGATTTTTAGCTCTGAGGCACAGAAATAGAAGATCCAGATAGAACTTTAATGCATCACGTTTTTCGTTCTCTTTTTAAATTTAATTGAAAGTTGGATCAAAGAAATTACGTCTGATAACATAAATTTAATTATCAAAGGAAGTACCTTAAGGAGTTAAGTCTATCATACCGTCATACGAAGTATTTGATATGCCTATGTGCCATAAACCATTTTTTTTATGATAAATCTTTTATAAAATTAAGTTTTTTATTTTGTTACAAAACTTAGATTTTTTTAAATGGAACTATTATATTTTTAAATTTTGGTATCATATTTTTCTGTGGTTACGTACTGGACGCAGGAAGAATAAATCGATATCAATTATCCATCCATTCTTTTTCATTTATAGATTATCTTCCAAGTGTTGTACTAATCCCTTCAACAATACGAAGTTAAATGTCAGAAAATATTTTTAATAAACAATGATATTCAGGGCATCCCCATCCATTATAAGATTATTTAGAGATTATTTTGATGATGTGGATGATATTTTTTGAGATTATGGTTGAGATGTTGAGATTATTTGAAGAGATTATTTGATGAAATAATCTGGTATCAAATTCTAAAGCTGAATTATTTTGAGATTATTTCCAACTTTTAGACTCCTCCCCCCATTTTCTAGGCATATACTCATAATTAAGGTGATGATTAGCTTTGTAGTTCGTGCATGTCTCATAAAAAACCTAGGTAAATTAAGATCATGGATGAGGAGAATTTGATAGGTTTGTAGATTATTTGAGATTTTCTTATGTGGAAGTGACATATCAATAACAAGCCATAAAAAATCGTAAAATTGAGTATCATGAATGAAGATGCTCTCATAAATGTGATATTGTTGTTCCGGTTATCCCTTTTCTTGGGTCCTTAGTTAAAGCTAAATTTAATAATGTACATACAAGAAAAGTGAATTTATGTGATGTGTATTGAAATAGATAAGTGGGGATAAAGTAAAAATGATTAGAACCACACAAGCATTATTAAATTTGGAATCAGACAATCTTAATGGAATTGACAAAAAGAGAAAGATGAAACAATCTTAACGGATCGGAAGGAGTACATTTATTCGATAGGAAAAAAAAAGATGAGGACTTAATTTGAACAAAAAAGATTACAGTTTTTTCTTTAAGACTACAGTAGAATTGAAAGGATTGAAATACCCTTATATACATATTAAAAAGTTTAATTATATATGTCATCCTTCACCAATAACCCATTTGCACCTTCTTTCTCTCACATCCACCTTACCTCATCTGCCTAGGTTTCCCACGATGGTGATGATGACATTGCTGAAGACGAGGTTGGTGGAGCAGTGGCGGGACCCATGGGCGGAGCTAGGGGAGGGCCATCCCTGGCCCTGACCCAACCCAAATTTTAAAAATGCTTGTATTTTTAGTGTAAAAAATTTTATGTAAAAAAATTTCAAAAATATTCTTTGTACCGGCCCAGTACGACCCAGTGCCCTAGCTCCGCCCCTTGCGGGACTGGTGGGATGGTGAAATGGATGTTGGGGTCATAACATGACGGCGGGGAGTGATAAGGCTGATGGGAACAGTGAAGGAGATGTAAGGGTCGTAACAGGATTGATGGGGTAGTGACAGGGCTGGTATGGGAGTGGTGAGGCTAGTGGGGCAGTGGTGGGAGCTATTGAGACAATGATGGGGTTGGTACGGAAGTGGTGAGGCCATTGGGGTTGTGACAGGGCTTGTGGGATAGTGGAGGCCTGTGGTGGGAACTATTGAGACTAATGAGGGATTCTGAGTCATGGGTGGCAATAGATCATGGAGTCTCAATAGTGAAGGTTCGTGACTAAAGGTGGCGGGATCAATGGTGACGACGAGTCACTGAGGCATCCGGGGAACTGGATGAGCAAGGGTTAATGGGTCGTCAGTCAGTGATAAAATCTAATCACTTGTGACTTAGGTAGTTTCACTATCGGCTGTGATATGAGTGGTGGTGTCAGTGCATGATATCTTTGGTCGAGATGATGTCATTGGTGCTTGATAGGGGCAATTTACGTTTTGTAAAACTCAAAACATGATCTTTTTCAACACAATATTTTAGTAAAATTAGTGAAAAGCCCGATTTTTTACACAGATAACTATTGTGCATTTTTGCGTGTCCTCAAACATTTATTTTCATGCCAAAGTGCACACACAAATGTACAAAGCATTGAATCAATACATGAATTGTATAAGGCCTCTACAAGTACTTGGGTCAAACCTTGTGCCTTACTCAGTGTCTGTTAGCTTATGATTAAAATCCAAATTACATTTTCTCAGTTAACTGTTCGACCAGTGTCCGGTGATGGGGTTCTCAGGGATGGCGTGTCGACCGTGATGGGGTTCTCAGGGATGGAGTGTCATCCCCATGGAATCAATGCATGTTCATAAACATAATTTATCTATATTAACCATTTACAAGTATATTTGTTTCACACAAACAATAGTTGTTGCTGCAGGACAATTTAAAGACTTTCCGTATATATTTGTTCACACATTGACCTAACTTTTAATTATCTGATTACTCAAATAACACTCAATAAATATACGTATTATAAAGGATACACCGTGTACAAATGATTCTTTCCTAAACATTAAGGGTGCATGTACACATAAACCAGCTATGTGAACGCTGGTCACTGCCTATTCCATTCGGCCGCAGGACGTACCTCCAAAGTTAAAGGAACTAATTAGCAAGTTACTCCGTATTATTTAGAGTGAGATGACAACGTATATAAATAACAAAAATGGAGTGGTGTATTCATTATTACTACGTATTTAATTAAGAAAACAATTGGTCCATCCCCTGACTAATAAAGGTTAGAAGGGTGTTTATACGTAGTGTGACATTACAACATGGATTATGGGTTTTTGCAGACGCAATCTAAAGTTGTTTCCTCTTAAATAACAGCACCGTATACTAACTATATCAATAAAAGCACAACCTAGCAAGCCCTATAAAATACTCGTATAAAGTATTGAAGCTGTACAGGATGCAGTAACAATTAATCAGGGAGGTGTATGAACTATAAAGTGGCCTTGCATGAAGCCTTGTTATGTCCAGGTTCCTTGCACTTGCTGCATATAACCGTCCTCCTATTTGAGTCTAGTATCTTGGGGGTGTCTTCTTTTTGTTGAGCTGGAAACCGAGGAGGAAGAGGGGGATGCACATCTGCACTCTCATAATCAACTTCATCCTCAACCGGTCTCCCAATACCAGAAATAGGGTTTATGAGCTCAGAATACGCAGAACGGAAGCTTTCAACTGTGAACCAATGTGGGCAATAGTCATACACACTTTTGGAAGTTGAGAGGAAAACAGCGACAGCATGGCAACAAGGGAGCCCACTGAATTTCCACTCCAAGCATGTGCAGTGCAGGTTTCCAATGTTGACCACGTGTGTTAAGTCATCATGAACCTCAAAAACCACTTCGGACGAGAACAAAACATTCAAACTGCGTGCTTTCACAGCTTTTTCTACTAGCTGTTTCTCTTTTGATGGAGCAAGTCTGGTAGGGCAATTCCTGGCCTCTTCCCTACGATGAGTCATCGTGTTGCTCAACTTACTTACCAGAGCTTCAATCTTCTGCATCACAGTTGATCCCCGCATGTCATCAATCACTTTGGAATATTCCTCTGCAGGGTTCTGTGTGATATGATTATATGGTACGCCCTTAAATAACAAAGTTGTCCAATGTGCCGGATCGATCTGGATGACCCAGTCATAAGTGGTGGAGGAAACATGTTTGATTCGCTCAGTGAAGCAATTGAAAGCCTCTAGACGGACAGCATGGGAAGCAGCCAGGAAAACGCCGGGTATGACTCCTCGGCCATCACCTTGAAACGGGCCCTTCATGTTTTTCTTTAAGCTCTCCATGAGATGAAAAATTGAATAGCCATGATAACTGTTCTGAAACACATCACGCACATGCTTCTCTATACTCTTCTCTCGATCTGAAATGAAAGTCAGTGCAGGTTGTTGCGAAGTTGAGATTGCAGATTTCAGTTGCTCCAAGAACCACTGCCAACTATCACCGCTTTCAATATCGACTATGGCAAAAGCAACAGGAAAGAACCCATCATCTGCATCAACAGCATTTGCAGTCAACAGCGTCTCTTTGTACTTTGACCTCAGAGGCAAAGCTTCTAGAAAAATGAGTGGCCGGCATCCGTTTTTGAAGCCATTCACAGCCGCGCTGAATGAGAAGAAAAGGTGTTTGAACCTTTTGTCCTCATCGCTAATCACAAGTTTAGTGACACTTCCTGGGTTTGATTCCATTATTTTTTTGCAAAACCAAGGCAACCGACTGTAGGACTTCCTATAAGAACCCTGAAGTTGCTCTTTGGCATCCTTGATTCCTCGCCAAACTTGTGAATACTTCAGTTTAATTCCAAAGTCGTGCCATATGGCTTTAGCAACATCCCTTGGCTTTTCATTTGGAGAATCCCGTATTTTTTCTTTGATGATGCTCACCAACCAATTTTTACCAGGATGGGCAGACTTCCAAGATTCCCCGCCACATGTATGTTCATCATTAAACTTTCTGATCCTGAATGTTTGATCGGCGTGAACCCAAGATGCATGAATCCTCCAAGAACAGCCTTCAATGAGACATCTACCACTTGCACGGTTAGTGTCATTCTTCTTTAACCTGTACACAAAGCGATTTGCAATGGCATACTTGTGCAATGCCTCTCGGAACTCCTTAACACTCCTAAAATCCTGACCAACACCATTGATGCCTTCCTTCCATGATGCGACTAGCTTTTCTGGCAAATCTTCATCACCATTCAGATCCCCAAGTTCATCCACTACAATAACATTAGTTAAAGCCCCCCTATCCTTGTTTTTATTGGATGAGCTTTTCTTCCCAGAAGCAACCTCTGCTTTGTTTGAGTCACCAGTACGCCTCCTCTTCTTGACCCTTTCAGCAGGTGTACCACAATCATCAAAGCCAAAATCTCTATCTGCTTTTGCACCAGATGTAACCACTGAAGCATAGTCTGAAGCTTCACCGGAACCATGGTATGAAGACCAGGTACGGGATTCACTGTGGGAATTGTCTTCTCTTAAAGCCACCAGAGAGTCGGTAGAAGCAAGGATGGAGAGCAGTTTCTGACCTGGACTACTCTTCATAGCCTTCCTAGAACCGACAAGAGGCTGCGGTGCATAATTTATAGCTACCTCAAAATAATTCTTCATGGCAGCAGGTTCTGCAGGCGAACCATTATGATTTACACTCTCAGCCAGTTTTACGCTCGGTTCCCTGAGAAGCTAACAACTTCTAATACGAAGTTTGTAATGAAAAGGTGGGGGAAAAGATGAAATTATGCTGTAGGAATTAAAAAACAAAAATACCTGTTTGTGAAAGCGCCAAGGACGCCGAGATCAAACCCTGAATTGCCACTGACGAAGATATCCGCAGTGACGGAGCTGGCATGAAAGTCGAGCATTCTTTTGAGGTCCCTGTCGGTCTTCAAGTTAATCAAAGTCCTGTTGTTTCCAGGGAGGAAATACTTGACTGAGACGGAGCTGAGGTCAAAATCGCACACCTCGGCGAGCTTAATCTTTAGGTCATCGAACACAGTCTCTTGCGTGATGTTCATCGCATTCGCCGCGCCGCCGGCGTATGTCAGACTCCCGTCGCTGCTAGTGACAAAGCTGCCGCCGGACTGACAGATTAGTATCAGCTTCCCGTTCACCATAGCATCCACCAATCCTTTTAAAATTTGGGAAAGGTGATAATCAACAATTGCTGTAAACACACACACACAAACACTCTGTATAAATCAAGCTTTGACTGCAGAAATGGGACTGGAATTCTTACCGATAAGGGAAATTGAAGAAAGGGGGTATGGAAAGAGGAGAAAACCCTACAAACGGGTGAGTTCTGATATTTCGAGATAAAAAGGATGAGGGAATCAGGTAAGGAAAATTTGGGGAGGGAAAAAGGGAAAAGGTAGGGATCTGATCATGAATATATACTGGGGGCGATTTTTGAAATTCGACTAAAACCACGACCTAGCCATAATACGAACTACTCCCTCCGTTCTTGAATTTACTTCCCGTAGTACAAATGACATACGGATTATGTGATTGATAATGCAGAGAAGAAGATAAATGTGTAAGAATTACCATAAACCACAAATTCTTTGACGAAAAAGGAAAGTGATTTTTTTTGGATAGACAAAAAAGAAAAGTTGAAAGTATTTTTAGGGACGGAGGGAGTAGTAGAATGCGAAAATGTGAAACTTATCATGCACGTGACCCGACCGCATGTAGGCTTTGACCCGCATTGTGTCTTTAAAATGATTCGGACTCGTGTATGAGATAATTCAACTTTGAGAGAGTTATAATGTATTTAATTGGATGTAATTTAGGATATGTAGTAGTACAAGATTGTAGAGATGTAGTTGAGTTGAATAACAACAAACTAATTAGTAGTGCTCGTGTTCTTGCTAGAGCATCTACTAGTTATGATTCTTGCACAGAGTTTGACATATTCCTTATTCCTTATTGTATTAAGAACATTATGATTGATTAAATGAATTAAGATTGAAAAATTGGCTCAAACTTGAACGGTAATAAAATAAATACGTAGTATAAAACATACATTTCTCGGACCAGTTAAGAGTTAAGACTAGATCAGTCTGACCAAACATAAATAGATTAAATCTGGTCAAACTAAAAACATCAATCAAATTATAAACATGCTTATGGGATTCGATATAAATAAACAATAGGTATATACTATATAAATAAATTATGGGTATATTTGGTCTTGATAGTTGGTGTCTGGTAGTCTGGTACGTTAACGCCGCTACTTCTTAAAGAGGAAATCAATTTTATTCACCCCTTACATCACCCATCCTAATTGCCTCCCAGGTCACCGGATCAACTCTTTTATTAATTATTTTGCAATTGTTTTAAACTTTTCATTTTTTTATCCAATTTACAAAATAGATCGATCATTTTATTTTTATGATCTTTTATATGGTACCAACATTGCATATTAAAAATTAATAGTCCATATAAAAAATTCAACTAAAATAATAATTTAGAAAAAATATTTTTTTTAATAGAAATTCACACGCTTGGCTGTCCAGAACTCCAGATTGAACAAGAATAGACAAGGATGGTGGGGATGCCAATGGCCATAGAGGGTAGGGAAACAAGCCCGGCCTATTACAGTTATTGTATTGATTTTGAGCTAACATTTTGTATTTTACGGAGTAATATTTTCCTTCCTTCCAAGTGTCATGTATTCTTAACTTCTTATCCCTATTTCTTTCCCTCCAACTTTTTGCTGCCCCAAAGACCGTAGAGAAAAGGACAGAACTATAGAAACCACCCAAACACGTTCTCAAACATCTGACATTACATGGGATATTATAGGCTCGACATAAAATTCTGAGAATTCTGCGAAGGAGATATTATGACTATACAAAACAATGAAAAAAGCAAAACAAAAATCAAGTTTCAATGAATGGTTATGAGTAGGCTTGGCCCGGCCCGGTAAACCAGTACCGGGCCTAGACCTGACCCGGTAAACCGGTACCGGGCCTAGGCCCGCCCCGGGGGGGTTTATTGGGGCGGGTCCGGGATTTGATTTTTGGGGACCGGCCGGGCCCGGTCCGGGCTTTTTAATTTTGTTTTTTGTTTTTTTTTTGGGTTTGAAGTATTGGACCGGGTTAGGTGGGCTGGGTTGGGTGTTTCGAGGGGTTTGGGGGTCGGGGGTTGGAATATAAGAAAACTCCAAAAAAAACTGAAGGGGCCCAATACCGGTAGACTCTGGGGCTTAACCCAAAAAATTCCAAGCCCGACCGGGCCCGACCCGGGCCCGGTCCACCCCTAGCTATGAGGAGAGCACATATGAACATGACTCCATAGTAGAGTCATATGTAGCTTCGGAGTGTTCCCTGCGGGATGGGGGCGTCATTTTATGAAGAGTTATTATTACTCCCTCCATCCCGGAAACAAGTTCTCACTTTCCTTATTTGGATGTCCCAAAATAAACTTCGCACTTCCTTATTTGGCAAATTATCTACATCAAAACAGTGCAAAACAATGTCAAACAGTGTTGAAACAGTAAAATTTACCCTTCGGTAAATTTATTTCCTAAAAATGTATGAAAGTCAACCCGGGAACTTGTTTCCAGGACGGAGGGAGTATATTATATCTACATCAAACATTAAGGCATTAAGCGCATGCCAAAACAAAACAAAACAAATAAAAGACAAAAACTAAAATAGAACTTGCGGATAATAATCTACATATACCATTCCAACAGCATCAAGAAATCAAATATCATCAATGCAAAATATTGTAACTCAAAAGAAGCCAACCGAACTTTAAAATGCATTATGCAACATCCTACAGGTCACAATCTATTCAGACAAGGCAATGGTACAGTATCTTTCAGGGTTTGCTCCCTGACCTGCCAGTAGTTTCAAAACAGCAGAAGAGCAGGACCAGGCAGAAATACGCATGTTGCAGCTATCGATGTAAGACAATTGAATCACAAGAAATAAGGAACTCCTGTTCTGGGTCCTCTCATCTGGTTGTTTTCTTCGGTTTCGGTGAAGAACTTCACTTCTCGCTCCTGATTTAAAAAAAAAACATCAGAGGAACGCCACAATAGACGATCCTATCTTAAAGACGATAAGCTTCTACAACTAACCACAATGACACACACACATTGTGGAAATCAATCATTTTAACAGTTTCTCAATGCTCAGTTATTTGCAACTCTCTCCGCCCTCTCTCCCAACATCTCATTATCTTTCCACAATAGAAATGCCAGTCCCAATATAAATAGGAAAGTCTGTTCACTATACTATCGTATAACACACTTACCCATCCTCACTGCAACTGAAAACAAATTGACTAACAAATTTATTGAGCATATATAACGTCAAAGCATCCTTTCACATTAGAACTCCAGGATGTTGCGGTATGGTAAAAGTGTAAAACCATAAAATAAGCCAGAGAATGCATTAACCGTAAAACCACAAAACGTGTGATTAGTACCAGCCATACCTGATACAAGTAGTTACGAATAGACACAGAAAATATTTGCAATAAGATCAAACGTGAAAGAAAATGAAAAGAACATTTTTCCTAGAAGTGATGTTTGACCCTACAATGTGCTTGTTACAAAAGAGACTAGATTGATCATATAATAATGCAGAATGAAAGTCGAGCCCCTGAAAGGTTAAATGTTCATTACAGTTAACTTCCGAAACACAGAGAGTAAGTACCATGTTGTCATTGAAGCTCAATATGGAAGCTACGTTTCCACACCTATAGCAGTAATTAGGGGCTGACCAAACCTGCATGGAACAAAATAGAATAAGATATTGACTACGCCATGGAGAATGAATGTCATCACCTATAAAGGTAAACCAAAGTAGAAAGGAAAACCCACAGTCACAAGTCCTTTATCCTGAAACATGTACTTCAAACCTTCCTGGACAAGTTGGTGAGCCCGACAGACAAGATCTAGTTTGTTGATATGATTAAACTGCAAATGAATAAACAATACTACTTTCAGAATAAGGGGGTGTGAGTATGTAAGCCACTTTATTGCGTATCACAATGTGTCATACCTCAGATGTAACCCTGGATCCAAAAAGCCATCCTGCTCCTCGAGGGCTGACTGCCCATGTTTCAATATCTTCAGGATCACTCCACATGAGATCACAAAAGGAACCCTCATGGGGTATCTCACAATTACGTTCAATGATCCTAATCTGCAACAAGACAAAATCATAGTTATGTATAAATTGAACCGATGAAGTACGATAAAGAATCATGCACAACTTGTGGCACATTAAACACCTAGTGACCAAAAACCTAAACAAAAGATTTCTTGAACATATTTGCATCTCTTTCTATCACAAACAGAAGTTTCAAGAAATTTATATTTTATTGTCTCAAGTGATGCCAGAGTGCATGTCTGCATCATTTGTAAGAGTAAATAATTGCTTTCATTCCACAGTTATATAGATGTCTCATAATCTTGATCCTACCCATTAAGGAACAAAAATGCATCAGTCCAAGATGCATGAAAAAAAAACTAATCTGGCAAGCTGAAATGTTAAATACAAGAAAATATTACATAACATACCTGATCAATAGTTCTAACATCAGGAGAAAGACCGCCATGGACACATAACACCTGAAATTAAAGGGAAAACGCAGTTTATCATACATGCACTGATAAATAGATAGATACTGGGAGCCACACATCAGACATGAAATATTAAGAAACAGGTGCAAGGGCAGAGAACAAGCGTTTTCACATACTGTTCCATCTATAATTGCCGACAGAGTAAGATAGTCAAACACATCAGTGCAGTACCGCCAAGCATTGGCATTTCCGTATTTCCGTTGGCATTCATCATAGAAACCATAAACCTATTCAAAAAGAAAAATTGAGACAATGTTATCTTTTCTTAAAGTGGGGCTTAAAACAGCAATAAGAAAGACACAACACCGGCACATACTATCGTATATTACATGACCAACTTTGTAAGCAAAGTACACATAGAATCTATTGTACCACACTCACCAATTAAACATTAGATGACAAATGGATAACTGGCTGTCTGGTTGTGATTAAGAAAATGAATATGTATGATTTTATAAATTACAGCTTGGTGTAGGCCTTGAGGCTCGAACAGCTAGAGCAATGTAATGCAACATCAAAGAACAAGTATCAGCCAACAAAAAGTCACTGTTATAGTGAGGGTTCCCAATCTAATTAAAGAAGCAATATGCCATGTGTATTCACGTCAACAAGTATATATAACACCTTGTAGTTCAATAGCAGACACTCGAGGCACAAGACAGGAACGAAAAAATCTTGTAAGCAACTTTGAAGGTTCTATGGAAAATGTCATTTTGGATATGGATGTATGTACAAAGGCACATATCTGAAGTTTCCATGGGGAACATCTCTTTTTGGCATGAATGTGAAGTAAATT